ATCCATATTTTTTTAAGCAAAAAAATGTTTCCCCAGTGTTTGGTCAAAATTTATTTATGCCAAGCAAAGATCGGGTGTAAGTATGTTCACTGCGCATGCTATTATTCTGCAGCTACGAGTTGCAAGCTATACTTATTCGTTCAAGCATAGATCCGAATGCAATTTACACGACAGGCTTTGAGTAGCGAGAAATATACATAATATTTTAAAACAAATTATTATTGATATTATATGCAATATCAATAACAATAAAAATTCTACAAAATATAGAAAGTCACAACGGCGTAAAAATTTCTATAAAAACAGGTTAACCGATTTTTTGGTTGAACTTGGTAATTAAATATAGAATTTTTATATTTTTTTCGCGGCCATGCTATATAATAATTTTTGATATAAGCATTAAGTATATTTATATTAAGAAAAAAATTTCTTTCCTTTGGATGGCGATTTAAAAATTAGCTGAAAATGTACGAAATTCAGTTAAAATAAAATAAAAAATATAAAAATGCAAAAATAAACATGAAATCTTTGCTATTATTTTGTGTTAAAACTGTTGTCTAAGCTCTCGGACAATACGCAGCTAATATGTAAGTGATGTCTCTTTCTTTGAAACGATATTCTGTTGTAACAATATTTTTATGGAAATGTTTTCCATGCTCATCCTTAGACCATCCAATTTTGAAGGAGAAAAGTCTAAACAGTAGCGCAAAAAAGGCAATTTTAAAGACATTAACTTTGAGATCACAAGATATGTTCATTGTACGTAATTAACTCAATAAATAACTAGGTCAATAAAATCTTTTTGTGTAATAGAATATGGTACTTTGTACATACTATATTGTATTTAAAACCAATACATCACCAAGCATCAGGTGAATTTTCCGTACGTGGTAGGCAAATAAATGAACTCCTTATAATTTATGACCTTTCAATTCTACCAAATCATGATAACAATAATCACAAACAACTTCTGGAACATACCATAAATTTGGAACGTATATAATAAAAATAAAATAACCTTCATATCAGTAACAATACTTCAAGTTATATTACGAAAACTTTTAGTAGGTGCATTAAGCCTCAATCGAAATAAAAGAGATTTTGATTTAGGCAACTCATTTAAATTTATTTTGTACGTGTATGTGCTGGGTTTTGTTAATTTATTTTTAATTCACTTTTGCAATTAAGTTTTTTATTACCATTTTTAGGGGACTGTGTATAGTTAAGTTAAGTTACTTGGTGTGAAAGTTAGAGAGTTTGTGTCTATATGTGACTGTACATGTTCCTAGGCTCTAGGGCGCTCTTTTTCGTGCAATGCAGTGCGGTGGCGCACCTGGCAGGGAAACAAAGGCCACCGACTTACAAAGGAACTTTACTTAAGAATACTGTACAAGAGGAAGCCGGTGTTGGTCAAGCCCAGCGATTAAATTTATATTTTTGTAATTGTAGACCTCCCACTATCAAAGCTGACCATTTCATAAATATAAACCACAGGCTCTATACTGAAGTTTTTCCCGTAGCTGTAATTTGAAAAAATTATGTTACTGCACATTACACCATTGCAATCAAAGCAAATATCTAAAACGCAAAACAATGTCCAAGCTTCACCCCTTTGGAAGAAGTGTAATTACTTGTTAATAAATAAATTTTCCCTTAAGGACGCAACACTTGCCAATTGTAAATTGCTGATAAATGCATTTATTAAAAATTATGTTTAACAAAATGGAAATTATATTCAATTACCACTGCGATATATAGCCTCTACTAGTATTTTTCAAACAAAAAGATGAACAAAATCTTTTATATAGCAGAATTTCGTAAAACAAACATTGAAATACCTCCAGTAATGCCTACTATTTTCATGGATAAAAAAAAATATATATAATATTTATTTTTTCCGAAAGTAGCGTGGCGTGTGGGAAAAGAACAATTGCTTACTTATTTCACCTGGTTATTGAATTAAAATCGCGTTCGTCGGGGCAAAAATTCTGTAAAAGTGCGAGAGTGAAAACGTACTCGTGGTGTGGAAGGAAGTTAAAAATTCGTACCGCGAAAAGTTTTGCCAGAAAAAGTAGCAAGTATGAAAAACAGCTGATTTGTGATCCGTTGATTGAGTTTTTTTTATCAACAAAACAAAATTTATTTAAACTGAAATTATATTAACACTTTAAAATCAGTGATATGCTTTCAATATAAGAGCCCAAATATTATTTTGCGGCCGCTCCTCGGCAGGGAATGTCAACCAGTCCGTGTGTATTTCTGACATAAAATAAAGCCCCTTTTAAAAAAACCATCAGCTGTTAGTATAAACTGTAGGTCCCTCCATTTGCATGGAAAAGCATCAAGACGCAAAACCACAAATTGAACGAGGAGCTCGGCCGAAAATCGCTTCTGCGGTTACAAAGCGCCAATTATGATTATAAATTTAATGGTATCAACGATTGAATGAAATAAAGATACTAATTAGATGAGAATGCGGTGGCAATGGAGTGGAATCATCGTCCGCATACCACCGAGCCCACGTTGAAGAATTAGGAATTAAGAATTTTGTAGGCAAAAATTAGATTAAAATTGATGTTGGAGTCCTTAAATTACCTAGAAAGCAGTATCAACCAAATAAGCCGCAAAACGTTGAAAAGCAAGGTTTTTGCAACGGTCACAGTGACGACAGCCGGTTCTACGCACCGGAGTTGACCCGGATTTTATCCGGCCAAGGGCTGTCACCCTTTCGGAGACCTAACCCCGTTTAGGTCTACAGGTAACCTTAGTCTAAGTACGTCAACGGAGCAACACCTCGCAGCTGGGTTGCTCCAAATCCTTCTGATCAGGGCTGGTGTAGAAACCAACCCTGGACAGACGGATTACTTCTGCTGCGTGTGTCAAAGAAGACTCCACCATTCATCCACGGTTAGATGCACCCAGTGCAATGGCTGGAGTCATCTTAAGACCTGCTCAGGCCTTAAGACCCACAGGGAATGGACCACAAGTTATGTGGCCCCATGCTGCCAGCGTCCAACCGCCCACTCAGCCTCCACGGCAGTGCCTTCAGCACACATACCCACTCTTGGTAATCTGCAGACCTCCACGGTCTTACGGAGCTCCCCGCAGCATGATTCCCCCCAACCTCCACCCCCATCCCCACCCACAACCACCTCATCCTCCTCCCGTGCGAGGGCTACCCAGCAGCTCCTAGTCCCCCGCACTGTCTGTTCCGTGTGTCAGACCATAGTGCGTCGGAACGTGACCTCAGTCAGATGCAATTTCTGCTCTGGCTGGTGTCACTTTCGGACATGCTCTGGCCTGCGCACCACCCGTGAGTGGAGCGATGCGTACGTTGCCCCTTGCTGTAGGAGTCTTCCCCCGCATATCTCTACAAACCCTCCGCCAATCAACACCAATGTGCGGAACCAACTCCCGCGGGTAGTACAGCAGCAACACACATCATCCACGCATCACTCCCTCACTCCCCGAATCNCCGCTACAACAACAACAACAACAACACGACAATGCATTCTTAAGCTTCCGGAAGGGAAGACGATGCAAAAATTATATGGAAAGAAAAATAAAGCTTTCACTTGTTTCTTATTTTTGTTGTAGCTTTAGCATGCTTATTCGTGTTGTCGTTCTTTGTGTAGAATGTCGAGTCTATCTGTTCCGCCAGCTCCATTCCTCTATGGTCCTTTGACAAGCTAGAATGCCAAAGAACGTGATGCGCGTTAAAGTCGTCCAAAACCAAACGGTTTCACTATGCCTTGACATTCTAGGATATTATCCCTGCGGTCACCACATTCAAAGACTACCATCCCGTGAATGGCGTGCTCGGAGAAAAACCACCACCCATTGCAGACAACGAGCTCGAGCTGTCTCGAGAGACCCGTGTGAACTTGGCACAACTTAGGACTGGATACTGTAGAAGGTTAAACTCCTACTTATCCAGACTCGACCCCAGCATAATCAACGTATGCCCTGCATGTGGAGAGTCTCCGCACGACAGTAACCACATCTTCACATGTCCCCTTAAACCGACTCATCTAACCTCTCTCTTCCTCTGGTTCAATCCCATCGAAACAGCCGTTTCCTGGACCTACTACTAGACCTCGGCGACTTAGATAGATCAAACCTGTATCTAAGCGGGGTTAGCGAACCGTACAACAACAACAACAACAGGAATGCATGATGTCATATCCCATCAGCTCGTAGAAGGATTTTCCCATCACTTTCTTAAGGCCAAAATGACAAAACTAACGTTTACCTTTATGTAAGTGAGACATTTCCTTTCCGTTTCCTTGTGCATCTTCATCATTCTAGTCGAGCAAACTGAACACAGCTGAGCAACGTCAGTGATACCAAAAGAAAACAATATTGCCGTAAAAAAAAACGCAGCAGTGCCGTACAAGCCGAACACAGATGAGCGATAGCATTGATGCCGAAGGAAATAAGCTTAGACTTATATACATCCACAACAACATTATTAAGATTCAGCCTTACTCTCAATATTTTTACATAGATCAGGTATATGGTTTACATAGCACACAAAAGAAATGACTTACAACAATAAATATAATGTTCGAATCATAATGTTATTAATGTCTAAATGCAGTTGTATTTTGCAAAGTTTTGTCAAGCAGAATTTTCCGTATAATATGAGGTGGCCTTAAATAAAAACAGTGTAGAGTAATAACAAATTAAGTGGTTAATTAATCGACAAAATATTATATTATTACCATAGCCGTATTTTTCACTTTTTTACGTTCTCTGTTATCTGCTTCGGAGAAAACGAATAAAATAGCGTTCTACTCAAAAATTAGAACATTAAATAAAATGCATAATCCGTTCAACCGCATTGTCCTTCAATATCGTATGTACTCAGTAGTATTTGTGAGCCCATCAGCGCGTTCATGCAGGGGAATATTCGAATGCATCCGTACTGTAATTGTTGTTGTAGCTCAGCTTTACATAGTTTTTATATGTTATTACCGCACAATTTCATCTATTTACAGAATGCACATTACTTCCCGTTGAAGAAAATTTAGTAGATAAAATTTGGGAGGATCAACCAGAGATTACGTCGAACTCCATTATGTACTTAGAACCACAATTCTCTGGCGCAACAATCGCAGATAAATGGAAGATTGTTAAAAATCAAATGTTGGACAAAAACGTTAAAGCTTTGATAGTTACATCTTTGGATGAAATTGCATGTAAGTAGATTTTTACTAATGTTAGAGCCTATACATAGAACTATTAAGATATAATAAAGCTCATAAGCTTATGTATATATGTGGCGAGTTATAACTTAAACTTCAGCCAACCGCTGAAACGAAAATGTCGGTGTGGCTCCAAGTGGCGGCAACTTACTTTCTTTTAGCAGATCTAAATCTCCATAAAGGTTGGTTTGCGCATCTAGCACACGGGTTGCTCACGCTTCTAGGGTGGCTGACGTGAACGCAAGATTAGGAACTGAATATACGCCTACGACTGTAACTGCATACCTAGAAGCTTGACAACGCCCTATTTCAGCCAACAATGCCTTCCTAAGAAGACAAACCCAACACAAAAATATTAACTAAACCTCAAGCCCACTTAAGTTCTTACACATAGTACAAGCAATACTTATTTAAATTTAACTTCATAAGATCCAACAGATGCTTATCAAATCAGTAATTAAAAACATTTAACTCTTCAATGTGAAGCTTTAACATATAATTAAAACCGCTAATTAAAACATTAAATAGTTTTTTCGAAAATCTAAAACATATAAAGTATAGCAAAATACCAGAATTAATGCAATTTGTTGAAGAAGTACAAATTACTTTTTAAAATGATAGAAATAAAAACAATTAGCATGAATAATCTTATATAATTTTAATATTTGCTTGATTAAAGAAAAAATCCATTGACTCTAATCTATACCGTCCAGCTAACCCACAACAATCAAACAAACTACTCACACATTCAAAAAAGACAAAGAAGATTAACAAAGTAAACTGTCAAACTCAAACCGAAAAACTCATTATAAATCAATTTTTAACAAGAACACAAATGGACATAATGTTCGGAAAACCATTCTACAAACAACTATTAATCAAAAACACAAAATACGCAGATAAGCACTTCAATATATTAAAAGCACAAACAAAATACAGATAATTATTTGACCTCAGGAAATGGTCGAAAAGAAACCATGAAAAACCAAACAATGAAATCTCAATAAGACAAAAAATTGTACCAACACAATATTTCATATGCACTTGAAAGAAAGTAGACAATAATAAAAATTATATAAAAATAAGTTTAGGTGTTGAGTTGCCTTTAAATTTTAAGAAATTAATACACATTAAATAAGTCAGCATATTGTCAAATCTATGCGAACTCCGATGTTTGTTACAAGTCTAAATCTATTTCTTTAATTTCCTTTTACAGGGTTTTTAAATTTACGTGGATCTGATATTGACTTTAATCCCGTATTTTTTTCGTATTTAATTGTTGAAACAGAAAATATTAAATTATTCATTGACGAATCAAGGCTTCCGGAAAATTTTGAAAAATTACAGGAAGAGAATGGAGTAAATATTCTTATCCTGCCATACGAATCCATTGGATGTAGCTTAAAGACCACAATAAATTCTTTAACGGAAGAAAAAATATGGATTTCCCCTAATTCGAGTTATTATTTATGTTCCCTTATACCAAAGAAGTTAAGGGTCCTAGAAGTAAGTAAAAAATATTTCATAATTTTTTTTTTTTTTTTTGTAATTATTATTTCTAACAAAAATTAAGATTACACCAATCGCATTAAACAAAGCTATTAAAAATAAAACTGAAATAGAAGGATTCGTAAACTGCCATATTCGGGATGGGATAGCGCTTTGTCGATACTTCGCTTGGCTAGAGGATTCTATTAAAAATGGAAACAAAGTCGATGAAATTTCTGGAGCCTCGAAACTGGAAGAATTTCGATCGTAAGAACTTTATATTAATAATGTAGTTTTACTAATGTGTTTTTAATGTTCTTAAAATATATTTTTTAGTAAAAACAAACATTATATGGGTTTGAGTTTTGCGACGATAAGTTCAAGTGGTCCCAATGGTTCTATAATACATTACCATCCAGCTGAAGAGACTAATCGTCCTTTAACACTTAACGAAATCTACCTATGTGATTCCGGTGCCCAGTATCTGTAAGTAGAAGAAAATCCATAAGTACACATGCTTAGCATCATAATATTTCCAAAAGTAGATTAGTAGTAGTTATTTCGAAATGTGGGCGATTATTCATGCAATTCGAATCCGTCCATAAGTTAAGAAATTATACTCCAAAGAAAATAATGGAATTTAGATATATTTACGAATTTAGTATTTAATAGCGTGTCATAAATAGTTAATTTATTTATTTGTAAACACTTAGTCGTAGAAATTTAAAAGTGTAAAAGAAATGTAAAGTGTTTCGACATAATTTTTTAAATATTTCCCATTTAATAAAGAGTCGATGTTACTTTATAAGTTTCTGCAAGACGCTTGTATATACTATTAGCTGATTCAATAACCAAAGCGTATATTTTTCCCAGTTAAGCTTTTCTTATTGGTTTCCTTTGTAAATGTCTCATAAGCAAATAAATCACATATCTTAATATATCCTCTTTGTAATCCACAAACGCGAGGACCGATTTTTGAATACCAACATAACTGCTTTTATAGTTTACTGCTTCCACTAGATATTTCACTGATTCGCATGATTATGTGGTGTTCAAACTGTATGCTATTGGAATGCTTCGTTTCTTGCTGTTGTAGAACCATAAAATTGATTGTAGACTTGCTTTTAAGGAATGAATAAATTAAATTAATAAGGATCAAAGTTTTGCTATAATTTGACAGTAATCGAATGTATTGCGGTCACGGTAACCGAGTGGTTATTGCTTACTGCCATTCGGAACGCTCGGGAAATACACAAGTTCTGACATGGAATAAAGCTCCTGATAAAAATACCATCAGCCGTTCGCAGGCGGCTTAGTAGAAAATTTGCTGAAAAACTGCCTGACCATTACGATAACCACAAATACTCACATCAGAAGCTAGTTAATTTTTTTTTTTCAATTTCCGTGTTAAATATTCTGTATTTAGCTTTGACATATTCAGACATTTTAACATTTCATCCATCCAACTTTATAATATTCGTACCAAATGTTTTCTTATTGTAATCTTACTTACTTACTTTACTAGCGCAGACACCGCTTACTCGATTATGGCAGATTTAACCACATTGCGCCATTCGTTTCTTCTTTTTGCTGTTTGGCGCCAATCGGAAATATCGAATACAGTCAGGTCCTTCTCTACCTGGTGGTTCCAACGGAGTGGAGGTATTTCTCTTCCTCCGTTTCCACCGGCGGGTACTGCATCGAAAACTTTCAAAGCTGGAGTATTCGCATCCATCCGAACCACATGACCTAGCCAGCGTAGCCGTTGCTTCTTGATTCGCTGACCTATATCAATGTCGACGTATAACTACAATAGTACAGCTCATCGTTCCATCACCTGCGATATTCGCCATTGCCAATGCGCAAAGGACCATAAATCTTACCTTTCTCTCGAAAACTCCTAACGCCCACTCATCAGATGTTGTCATCGTCCATGTTTCCGCACTATATAGCAGGACGGGAACGATGAGGGACTCGTAGAGTTTGGTTTTTGTTCGTCGGGAGAGGACTTTTCCTTTTAATTGCATACTCAGTCCAAAATATTACCTGTTGGCAAGAGTGACTCTGCGTTGGATTTCAAGGCTGACATTATTGTTGGTGTTGATGCTGGTTCCTAGATAGACGAAATTATCGACGACTTCAAAACTATGACTGTCAACAGTGACGTGGGAGCCAAGTCGCGAATGCGATGACTGTTTGTTTGATGACAGGAGATATTTCGTCTTGTATTCGTTCACTACCAGACCCATTCGCCTCGCTTCTTTATCAAGCCTGGAGAAAGCAGAACTACCGGTAATGTCAATATCATCGGCGTACGCCAACAACACTAACTACACTCTTATAGAAGATTGTACCTTCTCTATTCAGCTCTGCAGCTCTTATTATTCTCTCCAGCATCAAATTGAAGAAATGACATGACAAGGAGTCACCCTGGCTCGGCAGCTTACACAGCCATATAAGTTTTGCAGGGATACCAATTTCGGCGTAAAGGCAGCTCCTATTCGTGCTGTCAAAGACGGCTGTGAAATCGATGATGAGGTGATGTGTGAATATCTGATCAATGGTTAACTTACCAGGTCTGAAGCCACACTGATAAGGTCCAATCACTTTGTTGACGGTGGGCTTCAGTCTTTTTCCACGGAAATTGGCACAGACGATGGGGTCGCCTTTTTATGGATTGGGCAGAGCACTCTTAAATTCCAATCGTGGGGCATTCTTTCGTCCGACCATACTCTGCAAAGTAGCTGATGAATGCTCCTTGTCAGCTCTTCACCGCCATGTTTGAATAGTTCTGCCGGTAGGTCGTCAGCTCCCGCCGCTTTTTTGTTTTTTGAGCTGGCGATTGCTATTCGAAGTTCTTCATGGTCAGGTAATGGAACGACTTTTTCACCGTCTTTGCTTGGGGTATCGGGTTCACCATCTCCGGATTCTACATTTTAACTACTCAGCCAGATTTAGATCACCTCTTTGGGTCCTACAAGAGTCTGCTCCGGTCTTGAAGCCTTCAGTAAGTCGTCGTATCTTTTCGTAGAGTTTTTTTTTGTCTGCATATGCGTCTTGTTTCCCTCCTCATCTCGGCCATTCTTTTTAGCCATTCTTCGATTAGGAGTAAATGATCACTAATCGTTTTTGCTGCTCTTTTAGAGCATTTATCCCGGCATAAAAAATAGCTGTGTCATCCGTAAAGGTACATGTCTGCACTTTTCGATTTAATGGGATGTCTGCAGTGTATATGATATATAAAATATGCCCGAGGACGCTACCCTGCGGAACACCCGCTTTTACCGGATACTCCTCACTGATAAATTCAGGTTGTTTAATGGTAAATTGTCTGTTAGTCAGATATGACTTAAGTATCATATAAAATTGAACAGGCAGAGCTTTATGAATTTTGTACAGTAAACCTTTATGTCAGACCTTGTCGAACACTTGTGCTACGTCAAGAAAGATTGCACAAAAGTACTCCTTGAGCACGAATGCCTTTCTGATTTCATTAGTTATTCGGTTAACTTGTTCTTATGCTTTTCACGAAAGCCGAATTGGTGATCTGTTACGGTGCAGAAAAGGAGATATTTTTGATAGCAGAATCTTTTTTTTTTTTTTAAATAATTTGGAAAGACTGGGTAGTAGGCTTATTGGTCTGTAAGAAGCCGCCTGTGTGTGGTCTTTACCTGGCTTGGTTATCATTAATATCTGGGACTTTTTCCACGCATTTGGAAAGTAATTTAGTTTTAGAATGGCATTAAAGAGTTCAGAGAGCAATACTTGTGCAACTCTTGGTAGCTCTATTAGCATTTTTCATTTAAGGTCGCGGCCTGGAGATTTCTTTGGATTCAGTTTCTGTATGGTGTTTTCCACTTCTAAGCTTGATATTTTAATTGCCACCTACTTTTCCTGGCCGTTACCAGCGAATTCCGGCAGAATAAAATTATTAGTTGCGTCATTTGGCTGGAATGCATTACTTAAGTGCTTTGCAAAGCAATTTGCCTTTTCTTCGTTACTGCGTGTCCAGTTACCATTTGGATCCCTGAATGGCATACTCATTTCTATTGGAGGCTTAAATTTTTTTTGTGCTTTCCAGAGTGAGTATTTTTTGGCAGAATTTGGCGCTAGTTTTTTTATGTATGTCTTGGCATTGTGATCTTCTGCTTGTTTCAGTGCACTTTTCAGCTTCCTCTCTGCTGCTTTCAACCGTAACTTTGCTGCTGGAGAGCGATATTCTTGCCATTCTCTCCGCAAACGGCGCTTATTCTCTACTAGTTCTTCTATTTCTGTGTTTGTTAGGATTTTTGGGTACATAGTAGGCTTTTTACTTTTTGGAGTTGCTAAGGTTGCCGCAAAAACAAGGACATTATTGAGCTCATTAATGTAGTCATCAATATCGTTTTCACAATTCAATATTGGATTGATGTTAATATAACTACTAGTATACTTTTTGTATTTTAGCCAGTTGGTTTCTCTGTTTGTTAGTCTTGATTATTATGCAACTATCTTCGGACGCTCGTAAATTTTTATTAGAACTGGTGAGTGGTCTGAAGATAACTCAGCAACTGTTACAGCTGATACAAGTTGCCTGTTAAGACCAAAAAGTCTAATAAGTCAGGTATTTTCTTCCGATCGGTAGGCCAGTGTGTGGGTTTGACCTGGGAAACACAATCTAATTTGTTACGTTTGTTTATAATGGTATTGTATAGCTGACGGGCTTTGGGGTTTATTAGACGGGATCCCCAGTATACATGCTTTACATTGTAGTCCTTCTGCTATAAATCTATCACCAAGATTATCAAAAAATTCCTTAAATTGATTTTCTGTGATTTTAAATTTTGGAGGCCAATAAATGGCTGAGAGATTTAGCTCTTTGCCATAATTATTCAAGGTTACAGAGGTAGCTTGTAGATAATTGGTGGCGTAAGGTTGTAAGACGCAGTGTTTAAGGCGGTTTCTTAGAAGTATTCCAGTGCTGCTTACCATCAGGATGGTTAGTGGGACAGAACCCAGGTATATAAAAGTTATATATATCCGTCAAGTGCGTTTCAGACAATAACATTACGTCTATAGCATACTCTGTTAAAAATCGTGCCAATTCTAATTTATGTTGGTTCACTCCGTTTGCCAACCTAACTTTTAGATCTTTATATACAGGGCAGCCCCTATATTTGGCAGTGTGATTTCCTCCACAATTACTACATTTTTTCATAGTGGCATCATCTTTCTTTGACGAGCATTCAGACGTGGGATGTAGGTCCCCACATGCTACGCAAACACTGCGCAGTGTGCAGTAGGATTTAGTATGGCCGAATTCTTGGCAGTTGGTACATTGAAGTGCGCCGTTTCTTTCGTGTGGATCTTCTATTGTTACCATACGATGTAGCAGATAGTTTAAATTGTATATGGGATGGATCTCATTTTTCTTTATCTGACTCAAATTGGGCTCTCGTTCTACCTTAAACATTGGCTATTATTTTCTATTAAGTATATTTATAACCAATTTAGTACTGAAACCATTTTCTTCAAGAGCCTCTTTTATTTCATATGGCTTGACTGAGTATTCGATACCTTTACTGTTAGGTCTTTCGAGCTCTTTAGTTGATATGAGTAATGATTTTTATTACTCGAAGAAAGAAATCTTACTATTTGCATGAAGCTTTTTTCGCTGCAAGTTTGAATTTTTGTTTCATCGAATGAAACCTTTTTTTAAAGGAACGATGTGAAAGTTATTAGTGCCGACTATTTTTGTAATATTATTAACTAAGTGCTTGAGACACGTTCGCATTTGCATTTGCAACTGTGGTAGTACCCTTTACGCTGTCCTCACTTAATAAAGCAAATCGGTTGCTACTGGAGGATTCTGGGATTTTTACGTTAGTTCCACTGATTTGCACTTTTTTGTTGTTGGTGTTATTAATAGGACTTGATTTCCTCTTGATATTTATATATCGATCTAGTCCTTCTGTATAATTGAGTGTTTGCTTGCTGTTACTTTTTTTCTCTTGTTTTTCTGCCGACTTCGCCGTCTGTTTAGCGCTAGCTGAGTACTGCTGAGAGTCTTCTGCTTGTATGTTGCTTTCTTTTGCCGTTGTGTATATTGGCGTTGTTTGCTCGAAATGAGAAAAATAGGCATTTGAGAGCCTTCGGTCCGGCGGGTTTAGCCGAGACGCATTCATTTTTGTTTTTGTACTCACTGGATAACTTTTTGTTTTATTTTTCTGTTTATACTTATTCTTTATTAATATTGTGTTGTATTAATTAATTTGGAGTTTAGTAGTGATTTCCTTTTGTTTTTGAGTGTTCTTCAGATTACCCTAAAGGTACTCGCTTAGTTATTTTCAAGGTTTATTTTAATAGGTTTTAATTCATTTAATTTTATTTTTATGAGCAGTGCTTAATTGCTTGTGTGCTCTTACAGCTCTCTCAACGAGTAAATAAACTAAATTTGAATGTAATTAGCTATTATTAGCTTCCTAATTTGTATTAAACTAGTAGAAAGAGTTTTGGTTTTGTGAATAAGTAAGGAAAAGAGATGTTTTGAAGGCATGGATTTTCTCTCATATTGAACAGACGACATGACTATTCATAGTGCAACCGTTTGTCATGCCACCATTCACATAATGCTAGCCTTAACAAAGTTAATTTCTAAGGCTTTGGAAATCTGCCCTTTTTCACTCGAATAGTTTCGATATCCTGACATGTCATGCTGATTTGAACTAATATTGAAATAATTTAAAATTATCAATTTTCAGAGATGGTACGACAGATGTTACGAGAACCTTTCACTTTGGCGATGCAACAGATTTTCAGAAAGAGGCTTACACCCGTGTTCTAAAAGGTCAATTATCATTTGGATCCACGGTTTTCCCTTCAAAAGTTAAGGTAGGCATATCCTAAATATTTTTACTACAATTGTAAAATATGTATGTACATATATGACTTAAAATAGGGACAAGTACTCGACACTATCGCTAGAAAATCGCTATGGGATGTTGGACTGGATTACGGACACGGTACAGGGCATGGTATTGGATCATTTCTTAACGTACATGAAGGACCAATGGGAGTTGGAACTCGTGCTATGCCGGATGATCCCGGATTGCAAGAAAATATGTTCATATCAAATGGTATTATATCATTTAAAATATATATATTTTGAAGAGTATTCTTATTTTTTTTTACAGAGCCAGGGTATTATCAAGATCGCGAGTTTGGCATTCGAATTGAAGACATCGTGCAAATTGTTCCAGCTTCTACAACTTATAATTTCTCCGGTAGAGGTGCTTTGACATTCAAAACGATAACCATGTGTCCAAAACAAACAAAAATGATTAAACTAGAATTACTAAACAGTGTTGAGGTAAATTATTCAATAAATATAAAATACACATATTAAAAAATAAAGTTAACATCTCAACTGAAAATTATTTTTAGACTCAACTTCTGAATGATTATCACAAAACAGTTTGGGAAACACTATCACCAATTTTACGAGAAGAAAAAGACGAATTTACATTGGCGTGGCTGGAAAAAGAAACACGCAGCATCTAATATTTGTATTTTTTGAATTTCAAGTTAAAATAATTGAATAACTTAAACACATTATTTTCCAAAAACTTTCTTAATAAACTTCAGCTCCAAAATAATCACTATTTTTGATTTTTTTAATGAAACAAAAATCATCCAAATATATTAAACAAAGAAAATAACTACTTTTCATTTATTGGAAGATTGCTGGGATGTTATGAACTATTCTTCGTGATCAAAAAAATTAAATGAAAAATTAGTTATTGAATGGAAAAATGTTAGTCAGATAACTATTTATATTTTTAATAAAAAAAAACACTGCAAATAGTAATTATTGTTGAAGAAAATTTTAAAACTCAGCTCAATAAATTTTTTTGATAAAAAAAATAATAAAAAATTAAAACTTGGGTTAAGAGGGTTGTGTTTGATCAAAAAACTTAATATACAAGCTAAAGATTATATTTGATCAGGAAAATAAAAGCATTGAGGCAATCATTACTTTTGATCGAGAATATGAAAATCGAAAAGACAAAATTATGTCCGATTGAAGAATAGAAATTAATTTTAATTATCATCACTTGAGAAATTAATAACATTAATAATTATTATTAACGATCAAGACTTTTCAAATCTCTGAATAATGATTAAAAACGAAGGAAATCCTCTAGACATTTACTAACGTTAACAGGCCTATTCTGCCGAGGTAATAAAATTTACTTTGGCATTAAAAGTTACCCTTAAGTAAATTATGTTACTTTTCGTATTTTGAGTTCACTGTCATTCTGTAAACTTTGTTAGCAGCGAAATATGAGGTAATATTCTGCTGTTTGATTTTGTGTCGTTAGTTTGAGGAAAAAATAAAAACCAAAATGTGTAGGCATATTTTAGGTCTCGAATTCATTGGAGATGAAGAAAAAAGTACAAAAAGGCGTATGTTAAGAAATTTGTGAGAAAATATGCTCATTTTAATTTGGAAGATAGCATTTTCACTCAGCTTTTTTTGTCGTCCTGGCATGTTTTCCATAATTAGGTTCAAATATTTATGATTTAATAAACAAATAAATGAAAAAATTTCTTTTGTTGTGTATCGTCTTCCATTTCGATGTGAATATTATTCTTTTTACTTTACCAACTGGCAAATATAATTTGACATGGTCGAAAAAAAGCGGTGCTGCAAGTAATATAACCTGTACGCCAGAATATCAAATTAAATTTCGGGTGTCAAAAAAAGTAAAAAAATTTGCTTTACCGGTAACAATGAGAATAGGTCAGTAAAAGAAAATTTTGTTAGCTTCTTGCATGGCAGACGCTGTAAAAAGACTTGTCAAAATGGATGCACTAAGCTCTTTATCTATTACCCATGTCATGGGACGCACAAAGATTGGTTACCGTATCTCGTACAAGCGTTGCTTATGGTTCAAAGTTGTGCCTATATACCCAGAAATAGATCTTAACCCCAACCAGACATTATTAAGCATTCCTAAATGCAGCTTGGTAAGGTAACAAAAGCAAACTGGCCATCGCTGAGATTAGTGATACTTTGGTGACATTTCAATATATAGTAGATCATAGCCAAAGTAATGCAGGCACGTAAGAAATAGTATAAGTTTTAATTAAAAATTGAAATAAATTTTCCAAAAAGTATGAATGCCAGTTAATAGCCGCAGATGGAGGTACAATTTAATACTGAACGGCATTCCTGTTTTTCGGGAAATTTATTTAAATTATAGATAAAACTTGTTATACTATGTCTTAGATAGATGTTTCATTTTGGCTGAGAGCCACTGTAAACATTGGCTGAAATGGAAAGATAGGATTAAATTGTTCATAGTTCAGTTTATATATATATATATATATATATATATATTATATTTTCAAAGCAACAACTTGTAAAAAAAAGTGTCCCAAAATGTATAATAGAATATAATGTTTTTCTTGACAAAGTTAATGCAACGCAAGAACGCACATAGCAAAATAAGGCAACTTGAAATATTTGTAGATTGCATGCTGGTTTGCATTTCGCTTTTCATTTTAAATACCATATGTTCGGGACAAAGAACTTTCTCTTTTGCACTGCAAACTTCCCATAAATATTTCGAAACCGTCTGTTGTGCACATTCCTGTTAGAAATGTTGCCTTTTTGATGCTGGTAACCCCCTTGAGCTCAAAATTTCAAAGCAGCTGAAAGTCTTAGGTTTCCGGGATCGCTACACAACGATTAGGTGGGGTGATTCCCAAAACGTCAAATTACTTTGTAATCCCAACATAACATCAGACCAATGCAACCCTGCATTCTAAAAATTTGCTCTGCAACCATTCCTTGCAAACTCTGACATTTTGGAACGCTTTTCGTGCAATATTCTGCACAGTACTATTTAAACATATAAAAATGCTTCCTTATACGGCTTTTCCACGGCAATACATTGTTCTTCCGCTCAATAATGAATGCGAATTACCCCCATTCACAAGCCACGCAATTTGGCAGTTTTCGGTATGGCTCGTTTGTCCCATTTGTAAACGCGTGGAAAATTAAAGATTTTAGTAGAGTTAAAAAAATCTTGAATTGAATTGGAAATGCAATGCCAGTTTCTTAATTGATTTCTAATTGTTTCTTCTTTATTATACAAATAGTGTTGGATTTCTGATGAATGTTTGTGTATTAGTGTTTTCTTTTATGATTTTCATCTCACTACTTCAAAGTTATTACTGTCAACAGTGACGTGGGAGCCGAGTCGCGAATGCGATGACTCATATCCTTCGCTTTCTTAACCAGAGTGGTGAAAGCAAAGCTCGCAGAGCTGTTGTTGAGGGTTAAAAAAGTCAGTATCGAACGGCTCAAAAAGGTCTTTCCCGATCCTGACGGAGCTTTAAATGTTGTCTAAGGTCAGTTTACTAACCGCATAAGTTTTGCGTTGATACCAAACTCAGACATAGCGGTGTAAAGAGAGGCATGTGAGTGTACGCACGTCAAGAACATGATCGAGTTGGTGAATTTTTTTCGTTTTGACGTCTAGTACTATATACAACCATATTTCGGGCTGGAGAAGTTGATCAGCCTGAATCCATTAGAACATGTTTCGTTGTGGAGGCAGAATTTGCGGACAGTTGTACCAAATATACCTTCTTTGCCTACCCTTTCATTGAAATCGATAAGCACGATTTTCGCACTCTGGCGGGGCAGCGATCATAAGTGTGCTCACCACCTGTCGCTTTTCTGACCTTCAAGTCTTGAGCCGCCTTTTGCCGCACGTATTTCTTTTGATCCGCCCACATCTAAAAGTAATTTTAGTTTCTTTCATTCTACCTTATTTTTTACAAGCGGTTTTACTCTTAAAAAGTTCAGTTTCCACTAGCTGTATTAGCAACTGCAACTGCACTCTACAACGGGGAGTTTTAACCTAAAGAAACCATTAAAACGGTTATTTGTGTTATAATTATAAAATACTTATACATATATAATTGGCGCTTTGTAACCGCTGAATCGATTTTTACCCAAGCTCCTCCTTCACTTTGTGGTTTTGTGTCTTGATGTTTGATGTTTTTTCCATCAAATGGACCTACAGTCTATACTAAGCCGCCTCCGAACGGTTTTTTATAAGGAGCTTTATTTCATGTAAGAAATACAGTCGGAGGGGTTGACATTCCCTGCCGAGGGGCGACCGCAATTAGAAAATTTAGAAATACTTACATTTGTTATTAATAACTCCCAAAAAAACTCTAGCGGAATATAGAAATAATCTGAGAAGGAAAAGAGAAAAAATTTGAAATTTGTTTTTATTTAAGATAGCAGAAGCGGAAAAAAGGAAAATCTCCAGGGAAATTTCATTCATTGTTGGGCTGATAATATTGTGACGCCCAAATGCATTTGCTCTTTTTATTGTTATGTTATTAAGCTCTTTCTTGCATGTATTCAAACAATCAAAATTTTACTTAGTACCTTGCGCAAGGTAAAATTCTGACGTTTTTACTCACCAGCCTTTGTTGACTGTCAAAATTTACAAAGTTCAACTAATTGGCTTACAGGTTTTTATTAGGTAATTTTTTTCAATTAAGTGACACCGGTGAATTTGGTGTTAAATTCGGTTTCATTACATCATAGAAACTGACCAAATGTTGGTAAAGTGAAATTTTCGTGCCATGCTGTCAATGTGAACCGAGAGTTTTAGACAGCTAATTTTTTTTAATATAACTCGTATTCATAAAATCATTAAAATAAATAATAATAGGAAAAAAATTGTATTGGCGTCGCTTTGTCTCATAATGAGCTTAAAAGCGTGGAGCAATAAGCAAAATCTCCAAAGAAAGACAAGGCAGTGGTGAATTTGGCCTGCTTTAAGAAACTTGGTAAGCACTTCCGATGGCGGCATCTTCAAAATATCTGTCACATGCTGTCATTTGGCCGGAATGATCCGATTGCGGTATTCTGGGGGAAAGAATTTCTACGTCCCTTTCCCCAATTATACTTCCTGGATCAGCCTTTCAGTTTCCTTTGCATACCACTTCTCCTGCATTTTTTGTTCTCGTTTTGCTTAGATTAACAGGAAGACTGCACTATATTATTTTTAAATTTCTGTATAATTATACATTTTTCAGTTTTTATGTTACTAAATTTTAAGTTTCAAATAATTTAGTTTTCTGAATCATTATAAGTTATTATAAAATATTTTACTATTAAAATGTTACCATGTTACCTTTAAAACTGGTAATAGTCTATTACCTCGCAATAGAGGTACAGATGTGCTCACTTCTATCAGCTGCTCACACGGCAAACGAAAACATGTTGGCAAATGTATTTTGTGTGTCAAATGATGCGCCCATCGATGCGTAAATCGAAATTTGCTTGTTTTCATTTGACTGACATTTTGTACATAAATTCGAAACGAAGTTGCTGCTACGGCCACAATGAGGATAATGCATTATTAATCTTCTGGAAGCGACGAGGATGCACAAAATGAAATATTAGTAGTATTTAGAAGTAAAAATAAAGCTCGTGCTTGGTTTTTATTTGAACAGAATCGAATAAGCTCCAAAACAATGTTAAATTAAAATGGCCGGCTTACACGGAAAAGGAATTTAAAATTAATTTTCGTATTTCATCAATCCTCTCCATTTAAAAGGA